GTTGGGCTGCTATAAGCCAGAACCAACTCGGCATCACCTAACAACCACCACAACGTGGATTTTGATACCATTGTGTGGGACACATACGTCCCAAGTGGACTCCGGTGGTAAGATTGGTGGGATGAGGCTCATTTCTTCAGATTTCATGCAGTTATACAGGTCCCCACCAGGTGGTAGCACATACTACACCTGGGATAGCAGCTTCCCAAGAAATCTGAGAGGTGGGCAATATACGTCCCACAGGTCACAAAAGGGTTAACAGGGGAGATGACGCTGCCAGTTTTTACCATGACCGGTGATTATGCCTGGCCTCTATAAATACACAACACACAATAAGTATAGGGAGTGAGGACCACATAACCATCTGCGTGGCCTCCCACATGTCTAAATTGGGCCAGAGGTGAGCGTCCCGTCCTCCTGGGAAGAGCCTAACCCAGCTGTCTCAGGGACCCCAGTGACCTGGCTCCAGCAAACTTCTGGATAATGACAGATTTGTTTTTAACTCCTCTTTTCTTCTTTAAAAAATTATCTATAAGAGGACAGGTCATAAACTTGAAAAAATACACGACCTGTAATTTCTCGGCTGACGCCATTTATGGATCTAGATTAATCAGTCAACAGGGCTCCATGGTGTTCTCCCTGGGCGGCCTGGGGCCACAGAGAAGTTTCCAGACAGGGATGGGTCAGGCTCTGCTGGCCCCGGCCTCCCTGTCCAGACCTTGCCTGCCTCAACTGTAACAGTCACCGGTGTTCCTTCTAACACCCACATTCTGCAACTTAGGTGACAGCCCCCAGTCACAAAGACACTGAGATCATGCAAAGCCTCAAAATCATTTGGGGTTGCTTTTCAATGACTTACAAGACTAAACAACTGTCTCTGTGGTAAAGACAATGACCTGGCACACATGGGGCGGAATGGGCTAGTGCAGCCATGGCAGGTAACGCAAGCCAAAGTGCTCACTGCCCACCCGGAAGCTGAACTAAGGCAGACAGCCACCAGCATTGACGTGGCCAAGCAGACAGCGGCAGCTCCCCTCTGAGCACGGAGCCGTCAAGACACCTCGCCGAGCCCTTCTGGGGCTGGCGCAGAGCAAGGAAACACAAAGAAGCGTTGTACCACTGTTGCTGGTGGAGCCATTCCGCCTCACGGCGACCTGACAGGGCAGAGCTGAAACACCCGTAGGGTTCCCAGGCTGTGGTCTTCACAGAGCCGCTGGGGGTTTGAACAAGACCTTCTGCTTAGCGGCCAAGTGCTTAACCAGTGTGCCACCAGGGCTCCCTAACAGTCCTGCTAGAACCTTAACAGAAGGCTTGAATTGGTTGTGGTGGGAAACAGACTGGCCTTCAGAAGGCTGGGGTTCCAGCCTTATTTTGGGGACCTCTCCTACTCAGGAAGGGGAGCTCTGTGGCGCAGTGCCTAAGGCACTTGACTGCCAACCAGAAGGCTGGCGGTTCCAACCCACGAGGCACTCCTCAGAAGGAAGGTTGGGCAATCTACTTCTGTAGGGACACCATCTCGGAAACCCAAGGAGGGGTCGCTATGAGTCGGATCTGACTCGAAGGCTGTGAATTTGGTTTTGGTCTCCTACGCAGAGGCCTGGGGGGTGCAGTTAATGTGCCCAGCTGTTCACTGAAAGGCTGGGGGTTCAAGGCCACCCCGAGGTGCCTAGGAGAAAAGGCCTGGAAATCTACTCATAAAAAATCATCCATTTGAAACCCTGACACACACAGGGGCTTCACGGGGCACCACGGGGTCACCACAGCTCAGGGGCAACTCTGACACACACACAGGGGGGCTGCAGGGCTGAGGGTCGAGTCTGACACACACGGGGGTGCCATGAGGTCACCGTAGCTCAGGGTCGACTCTGATACACACGCACACAGAGGCTCCAGGGCTGAGGGTCGAGTCTCACACACACAGGGGTGCCATGGGGTCACCGCAGCTCAGGGACGACTCTGACACACACACGGGGGGCTCCAGGGCTGAGGGTTGAGTCTGACACACACGGGGGCACCAAGGGGGCACCACAGCTCGGGCGACTCTGACACACACACAGGGGGGCTCCAGGGCTGAGGGTCGAGTCTGACACACACGGGGGTGCCAGGCTCAGGGTCGACTTGTCGGCAAGTGATCACAGCTTCATCCATGGAAAACAAACAGCATCTTCCGTAAACGTTAGCCTTTGTCACTACTCCAGAAAGGACGGAAAGCGAGGAGGGCAGTGGGAAGGCGGGAAATCGGCGGAGGAGGGGAAGCGGTGTTGAGTAAGAGGAGAGACTGCTGAGGGCCGGAAAGACGAGCAGAGAGAAAACGTCAGCAGACCTGGACATCCCCGCAGCGTGAGAAAGGCAACGGTGACCCTCAGATCCAAGCGCCCGGCCTGCTGCCCCGCAGGCCTCTTCCTCGTCATGGCTCTGTTTTCACAGATGTCAGGGTTCCTTCTCTGAGGACCTGACATACACTCCAGCATGACCAGCATCAGGACGCGGGCGAGCGACGCCCACGGACAAGACAATGAGCTCAAGCAGCCCTGCGACCTCAGGTCCACGGCAGGGGCTGCCCAGCCCTGTCCGGAGAACCCCCTCAGGCCGGTCCTTCCTCCCTCCGGCAGCAGACTGGCCAAGCGGCCTCCTCCTCCCCAGAGCAGGTGTTCCCAGGAAAGCCCTGCTGCTCGCACCCTGTCCGCCTGCGCCTCCGGAAAGCCGGCGCGAGCCTCGGGGGCAGCGCGAGTGAGGCACCTCCCGGCCACAGCCTGGCTTTCACGCTGGGCTCGTGCTGCTGCCCCGGCCACAGGACCCCTTGGTCTGCCGCTTTGTGCACCTGGGCTGAGGGGGAAGTTCACAGCAGCCCCACCTTTTGTGACACGAGATTTAAGTCGCTCCGAGAAAGTGTGGGTTCAGTGGGTAAACCAAGGCTTCGGCAGTGGCCACAAGGGCCCCAAAGCTGGAAGCCAGAGCGCCAGATCTGACCACATCCTCGAGTCCCCCCAGGGCCCTGCCCTGCGATCCCAGGAACACCCCTCCTCAGCCCAGTTCTGCGCCCAGCACTGACTGGCCCAGTGTGCTGGCTAATCATTAGAGGCAGGTCCCCCGGGGTGGCGGTGGGTGGCCCCGATCCCCGGGGGCTGAGTCACCGCTGCACAGCAGACCTGCTCACGGCCTCACTGGGCCCCCACCACGTGCACTCCGCGGGGAAGAAGCCGGAACCTCCCCTCCACGGAGGCCTCCTACCCTTCCCAGCCTGGCTCCCAGGTGTCCCCGAGCGCTTCAAGAAGAGGGGCCGCTCCTCTGCCCCACAGGGGTGACCGAGGGGTCAGGCCTCCGTACTAGGAGCCCCGGCAAAAGGGAAGCACTTGGTGTACGCTACAGTTTCAGGGCAGAAGCCACCTGCAGGCGGCGGCCCGGGCGGAGCAGCGGGGTGCTCGCTGCATGGACTCACCCGGACGCCGCCGGCGGGCGCTGAGACAGAGAGCGCCCCCTCCCGCACGGGCGGGAGGCACCCCAGGTCCGCGACACCCCACCCTCCGGCTTGGAGCGCGCCGTGGCTGCTGCGACAAGCCCAACCATGGTGACCCCATGCGTCAGAGACTGGCTGCGCCCCGCAGAGTCTGCGTGGCCGTGGCTTTCGGGAAGTTCTCCAGGCCTGTCTTACGAGGCACCTCGGGGTGGTGCTGGCGCCCACCGGGAAGAGGACGCGCGTCCCCGCGCCTCGGGGGCAGGAACAGACTCACCTGGATGGTCCTGGGAGCGGCCGCGGACTCCGCACACCTGCACACAGAACAGCCCACCGTGAGACACAGCCCGGGCTCCTGGCCGGCACCCAGCCCCCCGCAGCGACGGCCACCGTGGGGACGCACCTGAGCCGTGGAATACAGCAGCAGCAGCCAGGAGCGCCAGGCGCAGGGCGGCCGCGGCCGCCGCATGGTCCCGGACGTCAGCACGGCCGCAGGGGCTCCGTCTGTGGCCTCGCTAACGCTCCCGGGCGCGGCCAAAGGGCATGTGCGCAGCTTCCGAGGGAAGGGTCCGCTTCTTGAACGTCTGCGAGCGCGGCGGTGGTGGCGCGC